CCGAAGAACAAGCGGGATTTAGGGCCGGACGCTCCACTATGGATATTTTCACATTAAAAATTGCAACGGAAAAACGAGTGCAGAGAAATAGAGAAACCCATATAGCTTTAATAGATTTGAAAAAAGCATATGACAGTGTACCGATCTCCCAACTATGGATAAAAATGGGTAACTTGAAAATAAACCCAATTCTTATTAACGCCACTCAAAAATACTACGAACAAAACTTTGCAAGAATTAAAATGGGACAAGAAATCACCTCTCCTTTTCAAACAACAAAGGGACTAAGACAAGGCTGCTGTCTGTCACCCACCTTATTTAAAATCTATTTGGACAGATCCTTAGTAAAATGGGTAAAAAAATGTAGAAACATGGGAATAACGGTGGAAGAAAACACGCTATATACACTTTTCTTTGCGGATGACCAGGTAGTAATTGCCGAAGACAGCTACGATCTTAGCTATATGGTAAGAAAACTGCAAGAAGAATATGAGGTGGCAGGTCTAAACATGAATATGACAAAATGTGAATATCTCTCAGTGGGAACAGATGAAATATGTGACCTAGTCTTGGAAGACGACAAAATCAAAGGCGTACAATCCTGCAAATATTTGGGGGTCATTTTCAACAAGAAGGGAAATAGCGCAGATGAAATCAGGAAAGAATAAACAAGGGCAGAGCAGCGACCCGTGCCTTAAACTCTCTTCTCTGGCAAAAAAACAATTCGACGAGAAACCAAAAAACACATTTACGGTAGTATAGTCCAAAGTATTACACTTTATGGTTCGGAAGTATGGGACGTCACCAAAGCTAATAGAAACAAACTTATGACGACAGAAATGGATTATCTGAGACGAAGCTGCGGTAGATCGAAACTGGAGAGAGTTAGAAACGAACAAATAAGAAACGAAATGAAAATGGAGCGAAATATCAATGATGACATAGAAAGAAAGCAATTAATCTGGTTCGGACATGTTAAAAGCATGCCAGAGTACAGATGGCCTAAAAGAGTACTGGAATGGATCTCTCCTAAAAGAAGAAAGAGAGGACGACCACGGAGAAGTTGGCGCAACAATATGGATAAAGCAATGTCGACAAGAGACTTAGAGGAAGCTACTGTATATGACAGAAAAAGATGGAAATTGGGGGCAGAGAACTGCTAAACATGTTATTCTGCCTGTATTGAAAACAAAGGTTTCGGAGAACGATGTTTCTTTCGGATGTATATTCCACAGAAGCCTTACAAATACGGTATAAGTTCATGTCAATAAATAATGCGAAACTCAATATGAATATATTTACGCGGGCAAAGAAAGGGATGAGTAAACACTCTCCGAAAATGAAAAGAAGACAAAGGCTATTTAAGTTGTAAGACTTGCAGCTTCGATTGTTGGAACTAACCGCAGCATCACGAACGCCAACTGGTTCTGGTCTGTGCCCCTAAGAAGTAAATCAAAAGGTCTTATTCAGGTAGGTACTCATATGTAGGAAAAAAAAAAGAAGTTCCACCAATTTTTTTACAAAATAGCGGGAAATAAATAGGTACTACTTTTTATGCATTCGCCAAACACTTTATCTTAATATCGTACGTTCCTAAAAAGTGCTTTTATTGTCGTCTTGGTATCACGAAAAATCTACTGATCTTGATACCTGGAAGTCAGGTACTTAACAAAAAGTGCACAGTTTATTCAACCAGCCGCAAGACCAGACAGTGGGTCGTGGCTATTTTTTATCAACTAGGTACTTAATATCTTCTAGATCCTTACAGATAAAGGATGAACTCAGACAAGGAGATGCTCTGGCTTGCCTCCTATTTAATAATGCCTTAGAAAAGGCAGTCCGAGATACACGAATTAGTGATGGCGGTACTATTTACAATAGATCGATACAAGTCTTAGCATATGCTGGTGACATTGACATAGTAGGGCGTAGCAAGCGAGACGTTGAGAAATATGAGGAAAAATGAGGAACGAGAAACAGTCTTTGGAACTCATACCTTTGGACGTGTTGACAACTTCATATACCTTGGGTCGGTATTGACTGCTACCAATAAAACAAGCCAAGAAATCAAAAGACGAATAAATCTTACAAATAGGGCATACTATGGACTCCAAAAGCATTTCCACTCAAGAAACATTCAAAGAACTAAAATTATTATACAGTGTGGTCCTTAAGTAATTGTACAAAAAGAAACCGCAGATTTTACGCTTTAAAATAATACGATTAAAGTCAACTTGCTTTAATAAAAAGTTGATATTAAAAAAGATACAGGGTGTTAAAGTGGAAATTTAAAATTTTATTTTTCGCTATAACTTTCATGTTTGTAAACATTTATGTATAAAAATTTACAACTGGGTACTATTTAATATTAGGAATTATAATTTGAGGCATACTTTGATATAGCCGATAGAGGGCGCCACATATACCACATACGTGGCATACATTTGCACTTAACTTTTTTGTTCTTCAAGTTAGCGGTATTTTTGATAAAAAATATTAAAGATACATTATTTTAACAAAGAAAAGGTATACTTGTTAATAACTTCAAAACTCAACAGTTTTCGAGATAATCGCATTTTACAAATCAACTGCATAATTCTGATTTAACGCAATTACTCCAGGCAATGAAAGAAAAATAGATAAAAACATCAATACTTCTAAATTTTGTTATAAAATTCCTTTAATAAAGTTAATAGTTAACGAAATATTAAATAAAATAAATATATCAGCAGGATAATTAATAATAGAATTCGATAAAATAACAGAATAATTGGATTTTACATCAAACATTTTACGTTTTGTATTAAATTAAAGTCATAATCAAAACATTTTATTTACAAACCAAATTAAGAAATTGTTAAACTAAATAACATTAAATTTTTTGTCAAAGTAAGTGTTCGATATGTCCACCATTTTCTTTAAATCATTTGTTGATACATTCTATAAAATATTGTCTTATATTAAATAGCATCATTGGTTCTAAAGAACCAATTCAAAACAAATTCTAAAGAATAGAATAAAATAATAATAATAGAATAATAATAATAATAGAATAAAAGAAAGTCATATTCTTGTGGTGAGATATTAATATAATTATTTAGTTCATAAAAATTTCAAAAAATTACTTATTATTATACGTATAACACTTATAATAAATACTGCAGCAGTTTCTTTAGAACCAATGATGCTATTTAATATGAGACGATATTTTATGGAATGTATTGACAAATGAATTAAAGAAAATGGTGGACATATTGAACACTTACTTTGACAAAAAGTTCAACGTTATTTAGTTTAACTATTTCTTAATTTGGTTTGTAAATAAAATGTTTTGATTATGCCTTTAATTTAATACAAAACGTAAAATGTTTGATGTAAAATCCAATTATTCTGTTATTTATCAAATCCTGTTATTTTATCCTGCTGATATATTTATTTTATTTAATAATTCGTTAACTATTAACTTTATTAAAGGTATTTTATACCAAAATTCAGAAGTATTGATGTTTTTCTTTAATTTTCTTTCGTTGCCTGGAGTAATTGAGATAAATCAGAATTATGTAGTTGATTTCTAAAATGCGATTATCTCGAAAACTGTTGAGCTTTGAGGATATTAAGAAGTATACCTTTTTTTTGTTAAAATAATGTATCTTTAATATTTTTTAATAAAAATACCCATAACTTGAGAAGCAAAAAAGTTAAGTGCAAATATATGCCACGTATGTGGCATATGTGGCGCCCTCTATCAGATACATCAAAGTACACATCAAATTAAAATTTCTGATATTTAATACTACCCAGTTGTAAATTTTTATACATAAAAGTTGACAAACATGAAAGTTATACCAAAAAATAAAATTTTAAATTTCCACTTTAACACCCTGTATCTTTCTTAATATTAACATTTTATTAAAGCAACTTGACTTAAATCGAAATATTTTAAAGTGTAAAATCTACGGTTTCTTTTTGTACAATTACTTAAGGACCACCCTGTATACAAAACATTGCTGAGGCCGGTCCTCACATATGGAGCAGAAACATCGACTCTAACGCAGAAAGATGAAAGACTTTTGGGAATATTTGAGCGTAAAATACTCCGCAAAATATTTGGAGCTGTAAACGACCAAGGGCAGTGGCGCACAAGATATAATTTTGAATTGTATCAGCTCTTTGATGAGCCAGATGTCATAACGTTCATTAAAACACAGCGACTTAGATGGGCTGGACACATAATATGAATGCCAGAAAATACCATTGCTAAAAAGCTAACCACAGGAACACCTGTAGGAAAAAGAAGTAAAGGCCGACCGCGAATTAGGTGGTTAGATGGAGTAGAAACCGACTTACGAATATTAAAAATCAGAAGATGGCAACATGTTGCCAAAAACCGAACAGAATGGCGACGAATCTTAGAGCAGGCCAAGATCCACAGAGGATTGTCGAGCCAAAGATGATGATGATGATGATGAGGTACTTAATATCAGTATGGTTAATGCCTAAGTAATCGGATAAGCACATCCAGGAAATGTGAGTAACATATAATTTAATGCAAAATATAAAAAAAAATATTATATAACGTGGTACTTGTACCAAAACTTGTAAAATGTTCAAATCAATGTTTACATCAAATAATGTAAACATTGTTTCTCATACCCGTTACAATGACCATTAAATTGTTGAGACACCTAAATTTAATTAAAAGGAGACTAAATGGATAGCTGGCATTAAACACGAACAATATCAATTATGTATTTACGAACTTGAAAATGGTACAAGCTGTTTTAAATTGCATTATATACATATTATTAAATGTTACTGATAAAAAATATCATAAATATTAATTGAATTTTGTAATTCCATGTTATCTTTATAACAGGTATTAAAAAAATTATATACCGATAACAGCATGCACAAATATGTCATCTGTTGAACGATGTTCATCGAAATCAAAATTTACGATATACATAAATAGCTAATAACTACTAAAAATAATGACGTACAGTTTCCAACCAAAGATCGGCTAAATCCAATACGTAGCAGCTCCTGGGTTAAGCCACATTTCGTATACACTTTTCCATCAATTGTACCAACTATCACTAGCCCGATGACAATGAAACAACAAAATGACGAGACCTTCATGGTCGAACACTAAACAGTACTGGTATTAAAGGTTATAGTACAAAATTTAATAATTAGGAACGATACACTTCTGTTTCGGCTTATTAAGTGTCTTCTTAACATATGTACACACAGTTATCACTTCAGTTTATTAATAATATTTGATTATTTGAAATTAATAAACGAATATGGTTAATTTGATTACATATTTGCAGGCCTTGACTGTGTTGAACCTTGACTGTATAAATAATATATTGTAAATACTTAATATTTACTACCGTTACGGAAATCATAAATGGACGGGAAAACCCTATGTCTACAAGGGATATTACTCTTTAAATCTAAATACAATAGACTTAGTAATTTAGAATATTCATAACTTATACCTGGTATGTTGCCAAATTTATTGAATAGTATATTATTTTAAATAGATATATTTTGCAACAACAAATCTTGTTAAATAAACTATTCTATTATCTTTGATTTTTGTTCTTTCAATTTTTATGTTCATTATAATATGTAAAAGTATGATCTTTCTTATCTTAAGTAGAAAAACCCTAAAATGTATTTTGTGATTTATATATTTGTAATAATTGAAACATATTATCATCTTTATCACAGAACAAGTCAAGTCAATAAAATGTGTAAAAGATGCAAATATGCATTTCCTCTTTCTTCTTCAAGTGCAATCTACTAGTTAGAGTGCACTTTGGGAAAAAATAGCCCAGTGTGGTTAAAAAAAAAGGTTGAAAAACTTTTGGCAGATATCTGCGAAAATGATGAGGCTTTTAAGGCATAGATGGTGGTTACTAGATGACTAATAGATGAAAAAGTACTCGTATTTTTACCTTGCGTTTTTTTTAAAAATAATTTATGGTCACAATTTGATTTTTTGTCTATAAGTTTTTTCCTTATATTTTACATAAACAATATTTATATCATTTTTTTATATCAAGAATATCTTTATTATTCCGTTTTTTAAATTAAAATTGATAAATAATTTACGGAGATATTTGCAAAAAAGCAGTTTTTTTGCACTAATTTATAAATTTTATTAATTTTTTTTTATTTAGAAAATAAAATGTGCGAAATAAACAACAAAAGAAAATTTGTGCGAAATTTTCCCCCGGTCGGTCAAATAGTTTAAAAGTTATTTATCCCTAAAGCTAAATATTTAAACTATTATAAACGTTTCAAAAAGGGGTATGTTTTTACTTATAAACAATTGTAATAACTTCTATATTTTACAAGCTACAGACTTGTACGTGCAATCATTGGATAGCTGGTAAAAAACCCACATTTAAAAAAAACCTATGACCAATAGGAACGAAGTTAGGGATTATTTTTCAAAATCTCCATTGTTTATTAACATTAAGAAGCAAAATTTGCACAAATTTTGAATGAAAATCTAAACTTTATATTGAAATTTATAGATATAAAATTCATCCAATTTTTCGAAACTTACAGTATGAGTTTAAGTGTGAGACTTACAGAAAAGTGGAGGGGATAATTGAAGGGTAAGGGGAAAAACAAACGATGTCACAAAAGTAACTTACAGAGAAAAGTTAATTAACGTTACTAAACCGCTGGTTATGATCTTAGAAATAAATAAAACTGCATACCAATATTTTTAAGTAGTTTATTACTATATTTTTAATATCTAAACAAAAGAATACGAACTTAACATTATTAGATTTTGTTGAAAAAAATAAAAAAACACGTTAATGTCACAAATAACTTGTTAAAAACCAACGATGTCCATTTTCGACATAAGCCTACACAGAGATTTTTCATTTGTATAGCAATGTTTCATAAAATTCTTTAGCATTTGGAAGACAAAATCGTTTTAACACTTGTAAATCGTTGTACTTAGTCTGGGAAATTGGTAATGGTCCATGGTATGCTTGGCTTGGTAACTCAAATTCGCCATCTTTCATTTTTCTTGTAACAACAGATTTTATTGATCTACCTGTTATTTGCTTGCTTTCCCAAGTGCCATTATAAGTGGTTCGGTAAAAAACCAATCCGCGTTTTTCTTTCATCAATCGAAGTTCCCTTACTTGTTGTAGAGCTATTGGACACTTACGAATAAATTTTTCTTGCAGAAAAGTAGTCCACTGTTTCGTTAATGTCTGGTCCACGTCTATAACTTTGAACGGTTCCGGCTTTTTTCTTGCATCTTTTAACACATTTATCCAATCTACGGGTAGTTCCATCCTAGTCTTCAAATTTATCAAGCCCATGTTTTTATCACATTCTAGATACGAATGTCCTCTAATGGGGAATGTGACTTGAATAGTATCTAGACGCTTTATATCATGGACAATGTAATGAAGTAGCCGAACAACTGTGAAATTTATATTTTGTCCACCAGCTGAGTCGCAGAAAATGTGAAGATGGCGGACTTCTGTTGGTAGTTCATTAAAAATGAAAAAGAAGAGAAACGATGATACCTCGTCGGATCCTTTTCTTGACACATATTCAGGATATGTAAAAAACAGGATTTTCCTGAAGACGGCACGTGAATGTTAAAAGAAAACATAGAAAGTTGTCTCCTATAATAAACATCGTTAGTGCTGATGTTGGGTAGCGAAATGTTTTTCTGGTAGTCCATGACGATTGATTCATATTCAAAAGTTCTCCTAGCTTTTATTCGGGCAGCTCGTTTTCTATCATAGAAAACTTGGGCACGAATTTTGTGCAAGTTATTTTCAGTAGATAGAGCTTTTATCTGTGCTGCATCGTCAACAGAATGAAGAGTCTTGATTTTTGCATTAAACTCATCACACTTGCTACAGGTATCTGCCCTTGGGTATCAAAATGAAATGTTGAACTTGTTAGTAAAAATATTTCGGTAGGTGTTATATGAAACAGATGCAATAGGATACTTTTCTTTAAACATTTGGAACATTTTCATAATATTTAACTCTTCACTTAAATACACTTTTTTGGAGTCGTGAATGCTATAATGACTTAACCTGCCCCGAAATGAAGCAATATGTTGCTGAATCTGGTTACTCAAATCTGAAGTTAACTGACGATGTTTCGAAGAATGCTTTCCTCTTTTGTCGACAGGAGCAATTCCGGAAGTTTTCAGAGATGCTTGAATATGGACCAACTTAGATCTAGTAATACCATGCATTGCAGTAAAAGCACTACTGCAGACAGATATTTCTTCTATTATGTTTTCTCTCTTCACTCGTACTCTGTAGCGGTAGGTAGCATCATGATGTTGTTCTCCATCTATTTGTCGTGACCTTCGTCTTACAACTGGCAATACAGCAATCAATCCAGCTAAATAACAGTTTTGAGCATCAATTGATACTAGTTGATTGAATGCGTTAAGTATGTTTTGCCTCTCTTGAGAAGTAGTGTTTTCAAAACACTTCAGTCTTTTACACTTACAATCATCTCCTAATTCGTGAGACTGCAATCTTAACTTTTTCATTACATCTGCAGTTCGACCAATTTTCTTTCGTTTCTTGGTTTTTTTTTAACAGATCGTCACACAAATACTCTTCACTCGAACTCATCTTGACATAAACTGCCGCGAAAAGAACAAAACATGTAAGATTGTCACGCCCTGTTAAATGTCGTTGCTAGGCAACTAGTTGGACTACGTCGGTTGTTTACCAGTACCGCGCGGACAACGTTTGTTTTTAACCAGTATGGTTATATTCTAATCATGGACGTATAAACATAGATGGACACAGCAATAAGATACCTTTAACACACAATGTTTTGAAGCTTAGATAGAATGTGATGCTTCCGCAATGAGCATAAGCGTGCTTGAATTTTTACTCGCGGGTAATTATTCAGATTTTAAAAATTGGAAGTAGTAATAATGTATAAAAACACGTTCAAAGAATTTAAAAAAAAACGAGAGTTTAACTATTAACAAATCACGTCTTTATAGAAAAATTAAAATACAATTTTATTTGCTTTAAAATTAATACAATTAAATATAGTTGAATTCAAGTTAATTTTTTAATCCTTAATTTGCTACCCAAATAGTTCGATCGTCAATATTATTTGGAAACCTACATAGAAAAATAAATGAGTTTTATTTATTTCACTAATTTATTTGTATCCATGAGAAATATTAAATTAAAAAGGTACTAAACAGATCTTTTTTAATCAGATGATGTCTACTTACAATTTATAAATGTCTACTAATTTCATGAATTTCATATCTTATTCAATGCATTAATGAACATAATAAACCCAATGGTACGCCTATTAAAATGTAAACAAACACGCTTCCTCATTTCCTCATCTTAAATAATGTAAATTTTATGTACTTACAAATGAATCGAGAGATCGGGATGTAAATATTTCGTTTATTTTATTTCACTTTTCACAAATATCACTCAAAATACAGCCAAAATATCGAAGAATAACTTTTTCCTCATTTACTATAAAATAGTGTTCACTTGTATATCGTAGAGTAAGGACGTATTCCGCCGAGTGCGATAGCAAAAAGTGACCACCGATAAGAACAATTAAAATCTAATTATTAAAAATTCTAGTTATTAAAATAAACAGTAAAGTGGCAGTGGCGTACCAAATTCTGTTTTCTACAATGAACAATTCACATACACGGAACACAAACAATCAGTGTCTATTGTAGTATCAGCAGAAATTGCAGGTAAGCAGCAGGTCCACTATTAACAAACATTTAAGAACATGTACCCAACTCCTCAACAATATTCTCCACTAGAATACACATCCGAACATGCACCAAACCACATATACTGGCAACCCGCAAATACTCCTATATCAAACATTCCACAAAATCAATTCGCTCTTCCACCACAACCACAACAATTTCCCCCACAACCCCAACCAATTTACTACAACCCAAGCAACCCATCTACTGTAGGGCAGACCTCAAACACAAAGCTAAAACTTGCAATTAGTCATTCAGAAAACACGGATATGGAGTCTAGTGAAGACGACGATCAAGAAACCCAAAATAAAAACTCATGGCAAGTAGTCAAAAAACGTAAATTTTCAAAACAAAATAATGATCCCAATTCTCCAAGCTCACCACCAACAAAAATACAAAATCGATACAGTGCTTTATCTAACGCTGAGAGCTCTGAACAGACTGAAACAGAA